CACTTATGGGACATTTAAATAATTTAAATTTAAGATTACAGGGAATTATTAAATTTAAGATTATATATTTCTCTACCCTAGTTGGTCATATATTTTCTTTTGTGAACAAGCGTTTGCTTTTCAAACTCGATTTCAGAGAAATAAAATTAACATATTTCACATTAATGCAGGGATTGGCAATCATGTCAATTATGCTCTGAACTATGATAGATTTAAAAATTTAATATCCATTCTACAGGATTCATTCAGTGCTACATTTGGTGATTTTCAAGATGATAAAAAAAAATGCTGATACTTTCACAAATCCTTTTTCGGTTTCCCTGAAAGATGTTAATTGTTACCCAACTGAAATCCAAATCGAAATTACTGACCTACAGCATACTACAATGAAAAGCAAATATAAGGAACTTATTTCAACTACAGATTAACCAAATTATATTGAATTTTGGAAACTTTTACCAACAAAGCAATTTTCTAAATTTACACGATTTGGCTGTTAGATATCGTTATAGGTTTGGATCAACATATGTTTGTTTGTGGACAAATGCTTTCTATCGTGAACATAACAAAATCAAAATATCGTTCAACATTAACTGATATGCAACTGAAACACCTAATTTTGTTGGTATCTTCAAGAACTAACCCTAATGTAGACAACTTGGTTAAAAAACTACATATTCAAAAACTATATTAATTAAGAACTGATTGCTTAACAGTTATTTAGAATTAAATGTTTCAAATTATTCATTTTTGTTTTATAACTAACTGACTATATTTAACCTAACTGATTGGACTTTTAAAAATGTTTATTAGCAGTAAAAACAATTATTGATAATAAAAGCCCAGTGTGTACGTTTTTTTTATTTATTATATCATTTTTTAAATGTCCATTTCCATACAAAATGTACCATTTGCGTAAAACTCCCATAATACGCCTATAAATAACATTTTGCTTATCTTTTTATATTTTTTATAGTATGTTGGAAGTCGCACGCATAACTTTTTTTTTTTTTTTTTAAGATAGTAGCACTCTTCTCAAAAAAGATTAGCCACCTCTGCTTTAATTCGTTATGAATAAGTAAAATGGAATGCATTGAAACAACTCAATGGTCCCTATAAAAATAACTGACAATATTATAATGCAATTAGGTTTATGGTAAACATACGAGATGATTAACGTTGGACTGCAAATTCTTGATCACATTTAACTGCAACTTTAAATACAACATTTTTTAGCCCAAAGGGCGTTAGCTCAGAAGGGCTATTAATTTCGTTTTGGTATTTTGCGTTGGTTCACTGTAAATGTCGGTTCACTTTTCAAATTGTTGCCACCAAAATATTAGAGCCCTTCATTATAGTTAAAGGAATTAAATAATGAAGACTCTGCATGAATGCATGTATGTTTCTCGCGCTGCGAAAAAACGACGTACCTATAGTAGTACCTAGAGTTATTGTACCTAGAGACATCAAATTTTCAATAAGTTGTCCTCCACTAGAATATGGGGATCTGGAAGCCCGAACTTGGAATTTGCTTCATTAATCTATTTCATATTTTGTAAAACTTTAACGAATTTTTGATTAAGAAACTCAATGATTTCAAAGCGAGCAATGGCAACACTGTACGAAAAAAAATTTTTTTTTATTTCCAGCGCGCGTAACTGTGTATTGGAAATTCTAAAGATATGCTTATTTTAAAATCATTTTGTGATATTGCTGTTGAATTGAATGTTATGGTTTAAGTTGGAAGAACATGATATTTAATAAATAAAGGTAACATTAAAAAAAAAGCCCCTTTGGGCGTAATATAAAATCTGAAGGCTTTCAGATTTTTAATTATTTTTTTAATCTATATTAAAATATGCTTAGTTAAATAATTAATAGTTGTATTAGCAATAACTATTAGAAATAATGAATCAAGATGCCAGTTCGGTTAGTCTTACGTCTGAAATGGTAGTGATAATCATTTACATAGGCTCGTGAACGCATTTCTTATTACTTACAAGTAGGGTTCCCATTTCTCCCGGAATTAAGGCCTGAAAATTAAAATCTCACGGCTCCCGGAAGGAATTTAAAATAAATATTACTCTCCCGGAATATCAAGTTTCTCGAAAATAATGACAAAATGTGCACGGCACGAAATGGTTGAGAGCATCGAACATCAAACACGACCGCGCACAGCACCCAAAGAACTTCAATGTCAATACAATATTCTTTTACAGCAGCGATTTACGGTGAGCGGTGAGTAAGCGCCTTACGGGATGAATCGTGGTTTCATGCCGGCGTGTCGCGCGCACGCGCCGTCGTCTCCCCTCATCCTCTCATTTTCAATCCATTCTTTCATTTACTGTGCAGTTAGCTAGCTATCTATCTACAAACAAGTGCGTATTTTTCACCGTCGTTTTCAAGACAAGTGGTTAACTGAATTTGATTAGCTTATGAAGAGAGACAATTTTAACGGAGAATGTAAAGTATGTCGGAAAACGGTTAATATTAAGTACGAGGATGTTAGAGCTTTAACTGTACATTCACAAAACAAGAAACACCAGTCGTTAATATTGCATAGGGATTCTTCGCAATGGTTTTGGAACTTTTTTATGAAGAAATCTTCAGAAGAACAAGACAGTATATCAGCAATTGAAATTATTTCAGTCTATCATAGGATTAAGCACCATCACACTTTTAATAGCCAGGATTGCACAAATTGTATAGCACTCTATTTCCAGATTCTTCTTTGCCAAAAACGATTTCTTGTGGTAGAACAAAATGTACAAGTGTTTGGGAGAGTGTGCTTGCTCCTGCAGCTTAAAAAATACACTTTAAACGAGATTAAGGAGGCAGAGATTTTGTTCAGTTTCGACTGAAAAGAAACTTTTTTTTCTTTTCCCGGAAACTTTTTTTCCTCTCCCGGATTTTGACAGCTAAGAGGTGGCAACGCTACTTACAAGCTTTCAAGTATTCTGCCTATTGTACTGAGACATTTTAATAGGATGAAATAGGTATTCCCACAAAATTTTTGGTTAGAGTGTTAATACATCTGATTCGATACAACAAATGATGACATCAGAGAACTTTTGGAATCACCGAACTCCGAAATTTACACAGAAATCAAGCTCACAATCAGTTTGCACAATCGGTTTGCGAATCAGGTACTAAATGATTCGCAAACCGATTTGTATGCATTCACACTGCCTCTTCCCGTTACAAACTTTATAATGTTAAATTGAGATTGATATTACTTGTGAAGGTAGTGCTTCACTAACGTTCAGGTAGGTTACTTTAAGCTTCCGAACATCTGAAAGATTTTTGTCTTTCGTCGGCGACGTCACAGAAAGGCTTTCAGATGATCGTTGTATATAAAATTTAAAAACCTAATTTGGATGTTTTTACTAATAAATTTACTAACTGTAATTTTATCCCCCTCGAAAACATGCTTCAAATCGAATAAATGAGCATCAAACGAATTATTAGGCTGAAAGAGCCTTACTCCGAATAGGTTATTAGTCTCGAAATGGAATTTTGTGTCACCCGCTATAAACGGCTGCATCACTTTTCAAATTGCTGCCACCAAATAATAACGCCCTGTATTAAAAAAATTAAATAATGGAGAGTCGGCATGTGATGCATATTCCCTTCAATTAAAAAAAACGGACGGTTCCTAGAGCCATCAAATTTTTAATAACGTAATCCTTTACCCGAACATGTGCACTTGGAAGCCCGAATTTTGAATTTCGAATTTTACATTTCATATGTTGTAAAATTTTAATAATTTCTTTATTAAGAAACTCAACGATTTAGAAACGAATATTGGCAACACTATACGGAATAAAACATTTTATCTCCAGCGCGAGAAACTGTCAATCAGAAATTCTAAAGATAGGCTGTTTTTAAGTATTTTGTGGTTTTGCTGTTGAGTTGAATTTTATGTGGGGTAAATGCAAAGAACGTGTTATTTAATAAATGTCTATTGATTATTATCGTGTTATTTAATAAAATAAGTCAATGAAAACTGAACACTGATATGATGAACTTAGAAAAGACTTGGAAAAAAAAAAAAAAAAAAGAAAGAAAAATGTATGCCGACAACTAACATTGCATCGGGATTTCTAAAGATTGCTGCTATAGCAGTAATCATAGATTGCTACTTTTAAACTTTTTGTATATTTGCTGGAGTAAGTGCGAAGAAAATAATGTTTAATGTTAAAGTTAAAAAGACTCCTCCCCCTAAAAAAAGAATGGGTTCGTAGGAGTAAGTGCAATAGAAGAGTGGTAGACAGCGAGCTCACGGAGAGTGTAAAAAACCTTAAAAGTCCCTTTTGAGTGACCGTTAAAATCTGAAGAGTTTCAGATTTGTTTATAATTCTAAATTCATAAATTAGTACCTGTTTTCTCTTAAAATGACACATGGATGTTATTTAAAAATATATTTACGTTAAAAATAAACAAATATAAGAGATAAATTTTAAAAATCAAGATAATGTTTTTCTAAAATGTTTTGTTCCCATGTCTGTTGTCGTTGCCCAAAAAACTCACAATGCAGATTTCATCGAGCTTCCAAAGAAATACTAAAAAAGGCTTTCGGATTTTGTTGGCGCAAACGCAATTAACTAAAACAGATCCCTAATTGAATAGAAGTCCTCTACTAATGGTAAAAGGATGAACTCTTCAAATTCCACAGTATAAAAGAGATACTGAAGTCTCACGTGACTGATAAACATTTAATACGATTTTAACAAAATTTCGTAGCCAGTTTTGGTAATGCAACGGTAAGGAGTTAACTAACTGAAAATTGATCCTGGATTTGAATCCTAATTGAAGCGAAGATCTTTACACGATTATCATATGAATTTTCATTATGTAATCGTACCCTTATCTTTTTTAATGCTTATTTAAAAGTTTTAAGAAAAACTAGAAGATACCACCTATTTAAGTATACCATGTCTGAAAAACGTAAGAACTTTGCAGAATTTCTTACTACATTATAAAAAAACAATTCCACTTACTCTTTCGTGAAGGCTTCTAAGATCATTGGTAACAACTTGGGGCTGTCTGGTATAGAGTGTCTCGTAGCCATCGTCGTCATTTGCAATCTCAGCATCGATTTCTTGCTCCAGTTGCACTAAAAGGGGTGCAGGCATACCGAATTTCACTCCTCTCCTGGCTACTTCCAAAAGACATAAAATGAAACTACGCTCGTTCTTGCGAAGCACTAAGTCGTCTGTTTCGAATAACAAGCATTCTTTGATGTTGAGAGAACGGCACCAGCTAATGAAATTGCTCACATTGTCCCTCGCATGGAAAGTTTCCGGCAAAACGTCGTAGCGATATACCACATCGCGATCTGGGATCGGTACATCCCCGTGAATTGCATTGCCACTCCTTAAAAAAATTAGGAATATTTATTAAATAATATAATAATAAACAATAATAATTTTTACTAAAACTAAAAAAATAAAAGCCAAAGATTTCTTTATTAAATGAAGCGCTATTTTTACTTCATGCGCGATTATTCTCATATAGGTAAACTGTTGTTTACTAAAAATTGAAATTTCAGGCTGCTAGTTTCTCAGTTATACTTTTCATGAGGAATAATAATTTTAAGTCTAAAATCGTTTAAGTACATAATTTCGTGTTATTACTAATGATTCAATAGTTTTTGAAGTTCTATAATTTCCATCTTATCAAATGCATTCTTTCATACTAATCACATTATGGAAAAAGCATCTCAAATGTTAAATTTCGCATTTACAAACTCCCTTGTAGCAGTAGCGCATTTCTACGTGACAAAACAAACTCTTAGAAGTTGCCAATTATGCAACAGAAGCGTTTTGCGCTTCGGAATGTGGAAAATATGAATACCTTGGTTTTTGTGCATTTCTAAGACAGTATCATATAACAAATAGTCAGACTAATTTAAAAGTTTCTTACTGTTCATGAACATAGGCTGTCTCGGTAAAAGCTCCTAGCGTTTCTAACAGACAACCTAGCGTTTCTAACAGAAACTTTGTGAACGTAGAACATAAAAGTTTACAAATGTTCGCATTGTGAAGTTTACGTATTTTTGAACGATTTCATGATGTCGATTATAATTGAAACACCTTATCATATGTGTTCAAATATTTACAAAAGGCGATTACCTTAAACGATACGAATTTTATAATTTCGTGCAAGAAGTATTACTAGCATTCAGTGACGAAATGTCATTTCATTTAAATGCAAAGGTGAACTGTCGTAGTGTCTGACTATAGAAATGTCAGACGCTTTTCGGAAATATAACGGGATTTTTGACAAAACTCGTTCATGTTTCACAAAATTCATGCCTTCGGGACGCATTTTCATTAAAAAGGGGAATGGCTCCTTTCATTTCATTAATACCACTTAATAAATATGACATTCTCGATGTATTGAAAACTGATTCTGACTACCACTTATTTCAGCAATTTTGGGCACTAACGCATTGGCATATTGAGATATGTCAAGCTAATGACATAATCTAACGATGAATTAACTTCCATGCTGTTGGAGTGAACTAAATTAGATGCTAAGACGACCATTAGATGGCCATCTTACTTACATTTTTCCACTTTTGCCTTTAGGAATACATTGAAGGCGTCGTTTACATGCCATCAATATTGAATGAACTTTAGATCCATATTAATGCTGCTTTAATTATAGGATCCTGTTTAGTTTTACTAACAGTTATTTTAATTGAGCCTTTCCCGAATTCTTTTATTTCCTGGCCATGATGCAAATTAAGTACGTGAACGAGAGTATTTAAACGGTTGAAAAGGGAAAGTTAGACAAAGCGTGATTTCGCTAGTGAAGCGCACATTTGCTATTTTTGTCCTCCATCTATTAAATCTTAGTTGCGGCTACGCATTCTGGTCGTCTAGTCAGTATATCGCCGGGGCAGGTTTCTGAGTCACGTGTTAGATTAAATTAAACTATGTAGTCAAGCACTACATCTCTACCTTTAAATTTATTGTTAAAATAATTTTTTAAGTTCTCTCCGCAAATGGTCGGTGTTTCGTGTAAGCATGTTGTACAGTTTGTGATTAATAAAGGTGTAGAGGCGTTAGGTATTTTTTTGGAAGCAGGAGACTTGAAAAATGAGCAACGCCTTCACTGGGAATCGAACCGCGGACCTCTGGAATACGCGCCCAGCGTGCAGACCACCACACCACGAAGCCATGATAGGAAGGCGGGAGAAATACCTTATAAAGGATCTTTTACATAATTTCCCTGTTGTGTTCATCTTCGCGCCTGTGTGAGAAGTCACCAGATACGAACTCTTAAGTAGATATATTTAGCATTCCATGCTTTCAAACACATTAGATCTCACATAATGACCATCAAGGAGAAAATGCTACAAAGCATGTGGGCCAAACTATACTAACGCAAGGATATGACATCGAACGTAAATTATTAGGACTAAGATTCGGATAATTTATGGTTTTTCTTACTTAGCACTCATTGCCTTATACGTCTTACTTTATAAAATACAATTTTCATAAATTCATTTAATCATTTGTAGTAACCCTTTGTTAATTTTAACTAGTCTCTTTATTCACTTTAATTCATATATCAAAGATGAGATGCATGTCATTAAAAAATGAAGCAAACGTAAAGAATAGGTTACAATCGGTTTCTTTAAAAATAATATGTATATTTATCTAAACGTTCTTTTTACTTCAAACTAATGATACAATAACAGTAGATACAGAGTTAGATAGAGGGTTATCTACTTTACTAATGTACTACATAAAATAGTCGCCCAAAAAATGATTTAAAAAAATCCAAATTGTGCATTACAGAAAAGTAATGGAAAACAAAAGCAACACATGAGTTTATCAGACGATGGGCTTGCTCTTCTAAATAAAATGAGATAAAATTTTAACTTATCTCGAAAAGTTTAAAATATACATTGTTTTCCTTTTAAACTTAAGTTTTTTCTGAATTCTTAAATGGTTTTTATCCGTTTTACTGACGAGATTAATTGCTACATCTAAGCGGTCACATTTCATTGTGAGAGTGAGCTTGTTCTTACAAGTTTCCTTCTTGAGTAAAATCAACAGATAGGAATGCTATTAAATAAAATGCCTAATTTTATTCTTAGTAAAAAGTTACTTTAAAGAAGAAAGTCTTAAAATGAAGTAAAAAGCGGCTGTACAGTAGTGTTTAAGCTATCATCCGCCGAAATTTAAGTTTGCTAATCAATTCTATGCGGCCCGGTGGTGTAGAGGCTAGCGCATCTCGCAGCAGCACCACAGGTCCGGAGTTCGATCCCCGGGCTGGGCAAGGTCGACTTAGCCTTTCATCCCTTGATTTCCATCTCTTGGGTCGATAAAATGAGTACCAAGTCGCTCGGGGACTAAACACTGGGGGTCCCTGCTGACCACTGGACCATTCCCAGTATACCTGAACAGATTCAGACTTAGGGATACTCCTTTCTGCGAATGCGGAGAGGAAGGCGACACGGACCATTATTACTTCCATTGTGTACATACAAGAACCTGGCACTTGAAGAAATCAGCGGACTGTGCCTGGGCAGTGGACGACTAACACACTCAAAAACAGAATAGCCCTGATAAAAATAGAAAATCTCAGGACACTGCCTAAGCAGAAACAACCGTGGATAATATTATAATGTATCAAAGTTCAGAACTTAAAGCAGATAACCAGAATAACGCTAGTGCCTTGCAGTTAACAATATGTAAAAACTGTTATTAGTTTATAATGTTCAACCTGTTACTCTGGAGTCTTCCCCGCCGTGTGGATATAATTCCGTTTGGTTCATGTCCGTGGTCGGAGGCCATCATAGCGGTGCACTCAGTCACTCACTCACTCAGGGCATATGCTTATGCACCCCGGGGCCCACGGTCAAGAAAGCAGATTTCGGGGCACTGCTGGCCTTGGGCTGTTGCGCCACTGAGTTTTTATCAATTCTTTGGAAGTCTCTTATTGGATATAAAACACGTCACGTATACCTCTACAACTGCCTGAGTAACTCAGAAAATCAGAAAAACTTTTAGAACGCCCTGTGTGGACAAAATACCAATAAGTCAACGGCGAAAATTTACTACAATTATAACAAATATAACATGCTGACTCTAATAACAAAATAACACGCCACTTGTTGGTTCTATGAGCAAACTTTGTCCTCCCGTGTTGATGGACCTTAAGATGCAACAGCGCAGCCATTATAAAAAATCAAACTTTATCGTTAAATAAATATTAAATTATACTTTCATTTTTCCAATTTTTCAGACACGTCAAAAGTGCGATTAAAAAAATCATACTAGGCATGCAAATGCTTAACACTTGCCGACTTCACAAATTTTTTCTTCTTTGCGTGAAGCGTGATAACATTTTTACTTCTTGCCCATATCAAGAATATGATAGCGAGAAATTTACTTTAGGAAGTTTAAATAGGATAATGACAACAGCAGTGGCTAATCTCAATTTACATACATAGGCAAAGAAAGATAACGCTGTATATAACCAACAGGTGTCACAGAGATGGTGAAATCGGATATAAAACGTCGGTAAAAAATAAAAACAAAACAGAAATATGTATTTTTTAGAAACTAAGAAGCATTGCTGATACAACATTTTTCGAATGATCCGGTGGTCGTTTCTGAGTCATTTTACGAATAATAGAATACATGGGCTCACCTTCAGCTTATCTGATAGATCTAGTTAAGTTAGACGACATAATTACTTGAACTTTGAAAATATATACCTGAATTTATAGAGCAATTTCATATGTGACTTTTGTACGACGTTTCAATTTCAGCTGAATTTCTGTAGCAAAATCGTACCGCTTGGATTAAACACAGACATGCTTATATTTGAAAGTATACGGTAAACTAAGAATGAAAATAATGAAGATGAAATAACAATTGTATTCATCTAAAAAAATTCGTAAATCAGTTTTAAAAACTGATTTAATTTTATTAATTATATTAGGATTCATTTATAAAATCCTTTATCGCTAATTATGCGATTTAATTTTAATACCATTAATTTAAAGAAGGAGCTATTTTAAAAAGCATGCGATTTATACAAAATACAGGAAACATGCCACACGACATGGGCCATGGTTCATTTCATGATAACTCTTTAAGTAAATATTCTATTTTCTATGAATCAATAAAGTGCTAAATCTCCGTGACAGAAATACGGAAACGCCCTGCACAGATCCTAACAGGAAAATAGGGACTTCCATTCAGATTATTACATCAGCATCCATTAAGCAGATGGATTCCTGTCCATTAATTCATCTTTTCGCCTTAGCTTTCTTTGGAATACCAGGAAATAATGTGCAAAGCTCATACATGTAACCATTTCTACAACGATGATTCTCGGACACGGCTTTGATTGTTGGCAAAGAAGAAAAGCACATTTTGACAGCGTGAAAGGAATAGTAATTTCAGTTTCCGCTTCTTAAACGTTCTCGTATTCCGTAAGAATTCGATACGACGCCCTCGATTTCTTTGCTATTCGAAGCTAAGGCTCGCATTACAACTCTTGTGGTTAATAAATCATACATATCGATAAAATGTTTCGATAAGATGTTGGGGAGAAATGGCTTTTCAAGAAAAATCAATGGGAGTTAAAAATCAGTGCTCGCTGGTACAAGCAAACGGAAAACGAAATTATTAAATTTATATGAATGAATATTTTGTTGCCTAAAATAATTAACTTCAGATAAAAGTAACACTAGTTGTCATAATATATTTAAGATCGTACATAAATTATTCATTTTTTATTCCCTTGCAAAGAAAGAAAATTACACGATTCTGTGCCGGAAACACTGTACGGCATTAAAAACATCTTTTTTTAATTCGTTACATTAACGTATTTTAATTTACATAAATTAGATATTAAAAATTAAAGTTTCAAAATTACATATATTATTTTAGGTCACTCAGTTTATTACGCAGTTATACACTGATTAAATTAGAAAGATGAACTAAAAATCTTACATTTTGCCAAATTTAAATTGGTTAAACGCGAAATGGAAAAACTTCGATAAAGATGTCTCTAAGATCAGCAAATAACGGTCATTTTAATTTCCTATAGAACGAACATTTATGCAATAGCATGAGAATTTTACTTCAATATTGGTTCATATAAAATATGTAAAATAATAATTCCTAATAAATTATTGAAGCAAATATTCTAAATGTTTATGTTACAACTGAAAATAGTACAGAGCAAAAATTCCATTTAAAAAAGAACAGCCGCAGGTACAAAACATATCAATAAAAGCATATCAATTTCTTCTTGAAGGGCGGGAGCATTTTTCTCCCATCATCGTGCTTGAGTTTTCAAGGACATTTGCCATCAACTAATCGATTCTGACATATAATACTTAACATTATTATCAAAACGCAAATATTTAGGCTGCAAAACAAGACACCTGCTCCAGAATGCTGAATCAGAAATTAAGAATGAATGATTATCTAGAGAGAACTAAACTAAACTCAGTGGCGCAAACAGCCCTAATGGGACAAGACCTGCAGTGCCCCGAAATCTGCTTTCTTGAACGTGGGCCTCGGGGTGCATAAGCATATGCCCTGAACAAGTGGTCAGCTTGGTCGCAGGACCCCCAGTATTTAGTCCCCAAGCGAACTTGGTATTTATTTTATCGACTCAAGAGATGGAAATCAAGGAATGAAAGGCTGAGTCGACCTTGCCCAGACCTGGGTTCGAACTCCGGACCTGTGGGGCTGATGCGCGACGCGCTAGCCACTGCGCCACCGGGCATATTATAGAGAGAGAACAAGGGCATAAAAATTCATTCTCTTAAGTTGATATTCCTGTATTTACTTAAATTCATTATAACGCGTCCTTCCTTCTTATTTCCACGAGTCTGGATAAATTATGCAAACAAATGATAAATAAAATTTATAAAGCCTCAACGCTGAAATTAAAGCCACTATCTGATTATGTCTTCATCTTGGCTCAGTTACATTACGCTTTATCTAGCAGTAAAATACCATTAATCTGGATTATATTGAAGAAATTACATTACTTTACCGTTGGCAACTCATAAAATTAGAAAGTTGTAGATAAATGAAATTAAGAACTTTTCAGCTATCCAGACAGTACAATGGTTAAGGAAGCCTACTGCGGTACCAAAGGACCCGAGCTCGAATCCCGGAGTAGGCATGGATGTTTGTAAATATTATAGTGCCTTTGCGGCATGGAGCTACTCTAAATATAGGATGCTGAAAGTCCTTTTGTGTGGTTCGGTGGTAGACCCTCGCCCCCCCCCGGCGTGCTCTTCCTCAAAAGTGGGATGGAAGCAGAACCCTAATCTCCTTGAGGTTCTGGCAACTATTTTACCATGAAATACATGGACAAGATAACAACTGTAGACTCATTAGGTATTTTGGAAGCAGGAAAGATAAAAAATGAGCTCTGGAATACGCATCCAGCGTGCTGACCACTATACTACGAAGGCATGCTAAGAAGGCGGGAGAAATAATTTATACAGCAACTTTTGAAAAACTACAAAATTCGATCTTAACATTCATTCATAAACTTACACATTTCAATGCTTATTTTAATGCAAATGAGGCCAATTACATTTTTAGGCTAATAAATGCTTCTGATGGAAATGGATAGTAAAATGACAACAGAAAAAAAAATTTACTAGTTGTCCAAAACCAAAAAGTGCTACTAAATATTCAAATAAATTTCAAGAAATAAAGACCGTCGTTATTAAATTTCTTTTAATATTACCGGCATTTACCCGACTACAAGCCGAGCTTTTTTTTAAAACTTTTCTCAGTGTTCCAAAAATGTCCGTCGGCTTCGAATCAGTATCATTAATATGGTTGTTACAATCCATTTTTATTTACTTTTGTTTTCAATTTCCTCGAAGCAGAGTCGGCTTATAATCGAAAAAATATAATAATTAGTTGCGCGAAATTCAATTTACATACTGTATTCTTGGAATGTACTCGTTTAAAAATTACATAATACATCTCACATGTATTCGTTGTCTAGAATTTTTTTGTTTCTTTTTTTTTTTTTTCCTTCGTGTTTTACAATTATACAAATTGTCTAAATTTTAAAATTGTTGAGAAGTCTTTCGCTTAAAAATTGATTCAGAAAACAAAAGATCAACAAACAATGGATAACAGAATTAAAAGTAAGATTTGCATTATATTATTCTATATCAGGGGTTTCCAACCAGGCCACCTGGTTGAGAAGCACTGATTCTCCTAAGGGACAAATTTCATAGTTTCAGGGGGAAAATGCTGTCAGCTTTTTATTTAATTTTTAAGGTTTAGTTTATCAGTATACAAAACTACTATTATTCAAGCTTTGGTATTTATCAACATTTTCTACGTTTTTCTTAATTTATAAAACACGTTAAAATTAATCTAAATCCAGATAAGTGTACGTAATTTTTCGAGCTTTGGGGAGGGAGGGAGGAATAATCGTCTAGCAATAGTGTAAGAAGTGCACGAGGCCAAAAAAAGTTGAGAATCCTTGTTCTATACAGATTTCAGTATTGTTTTACAACAGCGTGTTTGTTTATCAAGATTTGAGAGGAAAAAACGCATAAGTATGGAATTATTGTAGAATTTTTAAGCAGATACAACAGGATTTTATACAGGTAACTCTTATGCATATGTATGTGATCAGACAACAAACACCTCAACACCGGCTTTTATCGAAATACATTTTTTATGTTCTAGAAGGTATAGAATCAAATACTCAAGAGAAAAAGCAATGGAGAATGAATTTTTACAATCTCAAGTTTAACGGTTTAACTTAAAGGTCAGAGGATTTGGGAAAAGGCAATGTGAACGTTTACTACTTTTAATTTCATAAAGCATTCATGTATGCTTCTGTCCACGTTATGTATATTATGACACTAATTAATCTTTTATCAAAATTAAAATATGAAATTTATACCCGTACACTTGTGCAATTATTTGCGGGCGGATATTTGTTTCAATCCAAATATTTTTGTCCAACATAATTAATTTTCAATTTTTTAGTGAACATTATGGCTTACAGAGTTGACAGTAATTCTATAAATAAGCACTGTAGATTCATAATCATTGTTTGAATCAAGTTATTAATTAACAACAAAACTGCAAAACATAATTGAGCATAAAAATTAAGATGGGATTCTGTAATCTGGACTTAAAGTGAAAATTTCTAAGCAATTGAGATTGCAAAGAAAATAAATTTTTACCATTGCACTTTGCACATTGTTCAAAAAACACTTTTTTTTTTCTGGCATTTCGTCGCTTTTTAGCGCCAGGCATCTTGATAATGATAAGCAAAAAAATATTTTCAGATGAAATATTAACAGAATTTTTTGTTTTATTAGTTCTCGCTAATTTCAGTTTAGAACCACACATACTCCATACCACTTTTTTTTTTCCTTGGAGGGAGGGCATTGCAAATTATTTTCTAAAATTTAACAAGCAAAATAAATTTACACCAACAAAACGGCAATATTTTAAGTAAAATAATATGAAACACATTTCATTATATGTAAATTAAAAATTAGGCTTGTTGAAAATCTTTTACACGAATAAGAAGCAAAATTTACATAAAAGTCCATTAGAAATTTATCTAGAATTTTATGGGCGAGAATATTTAAAAAGATAGAAAAAAGAGATATTTAAGCATGTAATTAAATAAGGAAAATCTTAATTAAAATACATAAATGACTAACTTACATAAAAACTTTTCCTTGATAATACTAATAAAAAGTATTCGTAATCATTTAGGTATAAAATAGGCGTATAGGAATTTTTGAATTACGTGATTGAAAAAAATGTGTACATAAGTATGTTAAAACATTTTAATGCATGCAGAAGAAGAGTAAAGAAATTAATATTTAAAAATGATAGAAAACTAATAAAAAAAGAATATTGAAAAATGATTTTATAAAAGAAAAATTCTTTTACTTTTTAAATAAAGTTAAAAACTTTTACTTTAATTAAAATAGAGGAGCAAAAAGTACGTTCTTCTTTATCATACCTGTAATATTCTCTAGCTTTTCGCACCACATTATTTGCATGCTGACACAAGATAACGCCGGTTTCCATCTGCTCAAGGAAGTTGTCGGCGTCCAGATCTAGACCTTCATACAATCCGTTCAGCCATTCGGCCAAATCTTCCTTCATGGCATATAGATATTCCTCAGAACTTTTGAAGGGTCTAAAAGGTCTAGGTTCAAGGAGGGTCACTTCGAAATCTGGGGGCTCCACACCGTTGCCCATCATCACCACGTTAGGTCCTTCTACTTCCTCCATGAAAAATCCGTTATTTCAGAATTACGCGGTAACACACACGCAGACGATCCGTAATTATTTAACGAACCACATTCTACAGTTTTTTCTCTCTTAAATATTTTTCCCCCTAGAAAAAATTCCTTTTTAAAGCCAAATAAAAATTACATAAACTTAAAGACTGCACTCTTTGAAAGAAAAATTGTAAAAATATCATAAAGTTTACTAAATAGTTGAAAAATATTTTTTTCCCTTCGTTTCTTGAAAGTAACGTAGCTCAAAATTAGGACGGCAAAGAAATTGGGTGGCAACAGGTGTGACGTTCGGACACATTAATGAACTGTTGAAATCGGGCGCAAAGGATTATAAGGAGCGCGCCGCGAGTAAACACGCCAAACCAGTCTGCAGTTGTAAAGCTTTTAACGGAAGATATGAGAATCCATACATGGGATGCCGATACGCACGGCATGATGTAAAGCGACCCCTGTCGGAGCGAGGAGGGAATTTTGAGCCTGTTGCACTAGTATTGGAAACAATTGTTTGCGGTGAAATTTTGTTTTGATCATTTTGCTGGGATGAAAGTAATAAAAGAAATAAAGACTAAGCATTTGCGAGAGCAGCTATAATTGGAATGCTATTCTAGCGCTGCATCTCTTTGGCGCTTTATTATTTCAAAATGAGGTTTTGTGTTTTGTTACTTTTTATGGAATTGCTTTTATTATTTTTCATTTACTTATTACATAATATGATACTTATGCGAATAGATAATTTTTTTTAGAAATAATATAAAATATTTATTTCGGTTATCTACTTACCGAATTTAGCTCTTCCTCTGTATAAAACAATTTTTCCTGAAATTTCTCAAAATTAACTTGAACGGATGTTTTAAAAATTTTATTGCAATCTTAAATCGCACTGTTTACTATGACGTTATATTAATAATCTTGTCCAGACAAATAGGCTGCACTGACAACTCGCAGTAATGATTTTCAGTTTCTCGCACAAATTATATGAAAACAACTCTGTTACTTATTTCGTAATATCGAATTAATGATAAATAGCCTAATTTTTCATACTCACATAATTCGGAAAAAAATTGTCTTTAAAAATCTCCTTAATGAAATGTTTTCAAATTTTTGAGCTGTTACATTACGTTACGCTTGGATGCCAATTATGATCCACATGACCTGGCAAATACTGCCATTACAACATATATGATGTCTTTATTTTTTAGATTATTAATGTATTCATTAACAAATTAATCAGTTTAAAGCACTTAACGCATTTTTAGTAATTTAAACATTTATTTTATTTATAATAGTGTATAACTGATATTATTTAAATGCTTTTAATTTGTAATATATCCAGTTGATAATTATGAATATATGAAACATTAGTTTAATTAATAAAATATATTTATAATGTTATAGATTACGTACATCGTTACATGGCTTAAATGTCATCTTCTATCACCATAAAATTTTAGCTTTAGAATTGCTTTTATTATAAACATTTTGTTTTCATTTAGAGAACCAAATTATCTAACTTATATTTAAATGCTACTTAAAATATCTACTAAAAATACTACGAATATTTATTCGTAGTGATCAGTTTCTTTGTTTCAAAAGGTTTCACAGACTGAACTTAAAATGCTAAAGCTGAAGCGAATATTTATGGTAAATTAAATTCACTCTGTTTGTTGTTTTTAACTGTTAATCATTATAGTCTTATAATACAGATATAATTTAAAACTACATTTTCAGAATATTCCAAGAACAGTAAGAACTAAATGGGAAACCATGAAAGACAAGAATATATAAAATTCTGCTTTCATTTAAATATGATTCAGTTACCTAATAAATATTATGGCTTAAAAAATAAAATCTATGTTATCTGGAAAATCTTTTAAAAAGTTTTTCCAAAATACTTCAGAATTTTCTGCTTTCCTAAGACAGCTAATTATTTTATCGACGCAGATAAAACTACAGAATTCCGCCAGTTTCAGTCGTTTCTAGAATAAATGTGTATACGAGCCACTTTCCCTTAGAAAGTCCTCCACGAAAGGCATCCCTCCCCTTAGGCAGATAGCTCTAGTGTGCTTTGCCGTATTCTCAATACACAATACACTAGAATAAATCAAGCAGTTGCAAATTGAATTAATCGAATGTAGTTCCAAAGAAAGCTAAAAATATTCATTTAATTACGGCTGAAATTTAACAGCTTTTCTTAGGCGTATAGTAAAGCAGAAGTAGGAAGACTTGTAAAGATCGTTTATGAAAGCACTTCTCGTACGTCAGATATATCTGATGTGCTTTCTATATTCAACTAAAAATTCAATTACCAGAAGAGCTTACGTTCTTTTGAAGATTATAAGTAATTCATGTGAAAAAAATCAGATGTGGACACCACATGATTTCCTTATACGGAATATTAAATTATATTCATTTTTGCTATATTTCATTTAAATTTATTTAATCGAATTTTAATAGAGATATATTTGTCATTCAATGAAATCAGTTTTCACTTCGCGATAAGGCAAAAATGCATATAACCTCAAAATATCTTCATTAAAAATTGAAAAATATAGAAAAAATAAAACACCAAATACAGTTAAAACAATTAAAAAAAACAATTTTTACAATTAAAACGCAAAAACAAGCAATTCGGTCAACATGCAAGAAGGCAAATTTTTAAGTGCACAAAACTAAAAGTTTTTCTTTTTTTTTATTCCACTTGGCAAGAAGACACTGAAGGTGCAGAAAGACTTAATTCACTATTTCGCTAAGTTTCAAATGTAAACAAATATGGCTGCTATGGTAAAAAATTAGGCTTAGCAGCGGTTAAACAATTTTTAAATTGTTGATAGTTCTACAATTATTGCATGCAGAAAAAAATTACTAAAGCCTTACGTGCATAAAAACCTTAACCGGAAGATAAAAACAACATAATTCAATCATTTTTAAAGCAAAAAATGCACAATTTACCAGCATATAAGAATAAGAAAAACTGAACTCACTGAGCCGAGTAACAGAGGGGATATACATACGTTGTCCTCCAAAAGTTAAGGACAGCTTGTTTTATTTTTTGTCTAATTTGAGAGCGAAGAAACATAGAAACCAGAAATTTAAAGAACATTTTCACTTATCAGTCTTTAATGAATCCGACATAGAATGTTTCTAAAGTTCAACACAAACATGAATTACAACAAAAAATTGCACTCTTGGCAGAGAAATCCAGTCTTGGGAGTTTTTTTAGGAAAAATTTTTAGGATAACATTGCAAAAGTGGTTTCTAATAAAGAATGTGTCCAGCCCTAGCTGCAATAAATTGGCCGTAGCGATGTTCCATGGTGTCAATTAAATTGTCGGTCAGTGAAATGGGAAGCAACGACCAGACACGGAGTAATCCCTGTTCAAGCTTATCTAACGACCTTGGAGGAGGACTTAAAGCAGCAACCTTTGTAACTGTTTCTTTCCACAACGTGGAATTGGTTGTATCTGGTGCGTTGTTCCCTCCAAATCAGCTGACGACCTGAATCACTCTCCAATGTGAACCTGGACTCGTCTGTGAAGAGAACAGAGGTCCATTATTGACTGGTCCAGGAGACGTGTTCTCTTGCCCAACATAAACGGTCACTCTGTAATCTCGGGACAAGGGGACACAAACAACTGGTCGTCTTGCATACTGACCTGTACTGTGCAGATGTCTACGTACTGAAGTAGCTGAGATTTTAGTTCCTATTGCCACTAAATGATCTGCCATAAGCTGAGGCACAGTAATGTTACTGCTCCTTCGGGCCGAAAGAGAAAAAATAACGGTCTACCGCAGGTATTGTAACTCTAGATCTGTCTGAAATATGTCTTCTAGACACAGAATCCTCGGATTCAAACTGATTCCATAGTCGGTGGACCACAATACGAGAGACGTTGAGACATCTAGCAGCATCAGCTTGTAACATCCCCATTTTCATTCATCCGATCCCCCACCACCTCAACGAATCGGGCAAACGACTTTTTCTGGACATTCATAGATTCTCCTGGATATTGTCCACGAAACTGTAATAATAACTGAAGATCAACACTCGTGAACAAAACTTATAATTTTTGAATTTTTTTTGTCCAACTCCTATATAAGTGTTCATTTATATAAAATAAAAGTGGTAGCTATTGTTTTTGCATATATTTTCTTAGACATGGTTACCATTATGCATATAAACTATGAATTTAAATGTTACTAGCATTTTTGTAATGATGTGCTTTGAAAAACATGCTGTTCCTTAACTTTTGGAGGACAGTGTATATATATATATTTATATACTTTTGGTGCAGCCGATTGCAACAAACGTGATGTGCACAACTGCATGTTATTATTGCAGTCCTATATACAAAATTTCAACGTTCTGAGGCTGCTCGTTTTTGAGTTATGCGAGATACATACATACATACGTATTTACAAACACCACGAAAAAAAAATCTCTTCTGAATACATTTTAAATCAGATTTATAATTCGTTTGAGTAAAAAGAGTCTTTTATTCTGCCCTACGTATAGATGCCACGCAAAAGCATTGTTAAATTGTATTCGATAGCTGTGAAAATGGATATTTTCTTTGAAATATGATACCCGGAATTGTTCTTGATTTCAATACTTCCTTTACTTCGTATAAGGAAGTAAAAATTAAACTGGTTTCGCCTTCCGCAACGGGTTCGTATCCCGGAGAAGGTATCGTTGTATTTGTTCGTCCTTTCATATGAGGTAAAGGTGGCACACCTATTAGGTGCCTCCATAATAAAGTGACCACCGCTACCGCTTCTGGCCTTAGTAGCGGCCAACGTCTGTGGATGGTTGGGCCTGCCACTGGGAAGAAAATTAGCAGGATTAAAGCAAAGACTGAAGAGAAACTGGTTCGTTTTCACATCACACAACTCAAAACCTCCTATTCATATGCATTAATCACATTTTAATACCAAACATGGAGATGCATATACGGTAAGTTGAATAAGACACGGACCTTTGGTAAGATATGAAAGGCAGCATAATATAGAAATACTTAAATTTAGCTAAATATAGATGTAAAAGGGAGAAAAGTATTTAGGGAGTAGAGTTTTGACATTTTATTCGGGTGTTAAAATCTGCCATCATGGCTGATGCAAGTCCTGGAGATTCTAAAAAAATTAAACTTATTTTGTCTGTGAGCAGTTGCTGAAAGTCGAACAGTTTCAAAACTCTATCGATTTTGAGAGTCATCAAACGCGAGTCCCTCTTCTTCGGGATCAAAGATATTTTTGCGAAATGAGGAACGACAACCTTTTTTTTTTTTTTTTTAATGAAACCAGTTGGAAGGTGAAAAGCGAGCAGGGAGTAGAACAATCTGACAAGAAAATAGTAACAAAACAGAAAACAGGAAAAACAGCCTATT